TTGTTATCTTTGTCGTTTTTTTAATGTAATTCTAATTTGTGCAAAATAAATAAATAAATAAATAAAAAAATAAAACTTTTTTACAGTTGGCTGGATGTCTGAATTTGACTCTGCATGTAATCTGAGGAGCACATAACATTCATGCATTGCTATATATTAACCATCATATCCATATCAAATATAAGATGTGTGTACTGACTGTAGCTTATACCTGTTTCACTGACACACAACTCATTTCCCTCTGAGCTCCCCTGTGTGAGCGTGTGGTATGAACATTATGCTGGTGGCCGAGAGGAAAAATAAAGCCAAAGATGTGAGACTGTGAATGAGGATGACCAACCCGTATAATCCCTTTATGATGAGTCCCCAACAAGAAAAAACAAAGGCATTAAATGAAATGATACAAGCAGTGCGGGGAACACACTACAGCTGCACCTCAAATCTCATAGCAACCATTTCTGTCACCATTATGGGTTCCATGTACTTGAAATTATCAGCCATTATCTCTTATTTGTGTACGGCCATAATATGGCTGCGCACAAATAAAAACTTGAAATCTACCAACCAGGGAACTGTTTTACAAAAGCTATGTGCAAGTATTATGCACATTTAGTTTGGGGAATTTTGTTTGGCTATTCCTCCATTTTTTTTACTTTAATAGAAAAGATAAATGATTTTCTCACAAACATATTTATATCAAATAATTTGATATAGATACATACATATTGTTACATTTTTGTGAAATGCTCGCTGTGAAATTAATTTAGTTGGGTTGAATTACTTACTAGCCTCTCACATTAATAACTAATCCTAAAATACTTTAAATTACTTAAAGGAATACTTTGACCATTTGGGAAATACACTTCCAGATCCAGTTTCTCGCTGGTCACTTACATGACTAAATAGCTTAAACCAACAGATGATTAACCTAGCTTAGCATAAAGACAGGAAACAGTCAGAAGTCACTGTGCCTGCAGACAAATAGTTCCGGCCTGTACAACCACAACTTGACATTTCCACGTTTGTTTGAACTTGTACAGACAGCCAGGCTAGCTGTTTCCCCCTGTTTCCCCCTGTTTCCCGTCTTTACATAGTTAGCTAGCTACATATTAAGCGTAATGACACAACAGTGACATTGATCTTCTCATCTAACTCTGGAGCAAGAACTATTGCGTTAATTTATCCCTTACAGTCAGGTATGCAAAGAAACACTTTACCAATACTTTAAAGCTGAAGGCCTCACTGAAGAGGTAGCTAATATTTATGGTTTGTGTTTCATTTTATCTCAAGAAATTGTACAATGTTTCCAACATTTGTTGTCTTTGATGAGTGGTTCGGGTTTGACTTTAGTCTACCTTTGAGGACGCAGACTAAAGACCCGTTAACTTGGGACAGCTTGTCAAATTGGGGACAAAAACTGTGTTCCCAGTTTGGAAAAAGCTGGTCAATTGTTCAGGTCAGCGTAAGGGTTAGGGTTAGGCAAATAGTAGTTATGGTTAGGGTTAGAGTAAGACTCCAGGAAATTAATGTAAGTCTGTGTAATGTCCCTAAAAGTGACACAAGTAAATGTGTCTGTGTGTGTGTGTGTGTAATGTTGAGAGCTGTGTTGTGCAGCAGTGACTAGGAAAAAAATATCTGAGTTCTTTTTCTATTATTTATCAGTGTTTTATGATTTTGGGAGGCGAGATCCAGTCTACTGTTTTGTTTCAATATAAAAATTCTGCCACAAACATGCTCTTATGAGATGGGGAAATCTGGCAGCATGGTAACATTTGATGTGAAATATGCGAGTTACGTCCTGCTACTAAATTTAACATCTGAAGCTTGTCATATCATAAACGGTGCACCCACATCCTCACATCTTCGAATGGAAACAGACATCAGTCCTTCCTGTGGATCTCTATTCCTTCCAATGAGTCTACCAGGGAGATGAGAAGACATGGAAAACTCAAAATTATGCAAATATATCTTATTTAATTCATGAAAATATCATCTCTCACATTCTGTCTTTTCATCTCTCCTCAATAATGCTGTGCTTGATGATGCCAGAAATAGGTGACTTAAAGGCTGAGATATTATGAAATGTATAATTTCTCTGTGTTGACACTACTATTTCATTTAATGATCTAATTGCCATTTCATTACATAATACCAGTA